GTCCCTGTGCTCAGACTAACACCTGGCCCTGCCTGTGTCTCCTTTGCATTCCCTTGCCTCTGCCCCCCGCCCTGTGGCCCCGGGACAGGCGGAACGCGAGGGCTGCGCCGCCAGCGAGTCGCACCTGGGTCCAAGCTCCCAGCTTAGCCCACGGAGGAGCCTCCCGCAGCAAGGGCTCAGAGCCGCCCTCTGGCTCAGCCTCGGCAGCAGGGCGGGTCAGTCCTGGCCCTGCCTGTGTCTCCTTTGCATTCCCTTGCCTCTGCCCCCCGCCCTGTGGCCCCGGGACAGGCGGAACGCGAGGGCTGCGCCGCCAGCGAGTCGCACCTGGGTCCAAGCTCCCAGCTTAGCCCACGGAGGAGCCTCCCGCAGCAAGGGCTCAGAGCCGCCCTCTGGCTCAGCCTCGGCAGCAGGGCGGGTCAGTGCAGCAGCTGGGGAGCTCCAGAGAAGCTGGGGCCGCTGGTAACTCCCCGTATCTTACACTGGAGCTTTTCCTCAACATCACTGGCCCTTGAGAAAAGCCGTGGGGACTGTGACGTTTTTCTCAGAGCCTGTCAGCTTTGGTGGAAACACCTCTCCAAGACGGCAGCCCCTCCAGATGTTTTGGTTTGCAATTGACTTTCGTTTCTATTAAATCCTGTAGGGGAAATAATAAATGGTCAGAATTGCAACTGGGGGCGTGGTGCAGCCGTGGGGCGGTGCAAGCGCCTTGGGGCAGGGTCTGTCTGAACGCCCCGGGGGCGGGAGCTTGGCCTCTGCCCCACTGGCTGGGGGCGCGGTGCAGCCGCGGGGAGGTGCAAGCGCCTCGGGGCAGGGTCTGTGGGAAGCCCCGGGGGCTGACCCAGCTCTGTCCCTTCCCTGCAGATTGCGACTCCTACTGCAAGCCAGCCAAGGGCAACTACAAGGTCAGCATGAAGAAGTACTGCAAGAAGGATTATGGTGAGTCGGCGCAGGGACGCGTGAGGGGAGGGGCAGGGGACACGGCCGCGGGGAGGTGCAAGCGCCTCGGGGCAGGGTCTGTGGGAAGCCCCGGGGGCTGACCCAGCTCTGTCCCTTCCCTGCAGATTGCGACTCCTACTGCAAGCCAGCCAAGGGCAACTACAAGGTCAGCATGAAGAAGTACTGCAAGAAGGATTATGGTGAGTCGGCGCAGGGACGCGTGAGGGGAGGGGCAGGGGACACGGCCCCGCTCTGTCCCAGCGCCTCAGCTGCCTCCGCCCGCCACTCTCCCGCACTCCCCCCCGGGCCTCCGGGCCCCCGGTTGGCCACATCTGGGGGTCAGTTAATGGTCGGGGGTCCCCGCCGGGGCTGAGTGGGAGTCCCCGTCCCCGGCCCTGCCTCGCGCCCCCTCCCCCCCGCACTCCGCTGGGAGGGCGCCAGGACGGAAAGGTGCCGTCTCCGGTGCAGGTTTTGAGGAGCCGATTTGCATCCACAGTCAGGGCAGGGCTGACTGACTCCGATTTAAGTGAATTTCATGGGGGGGTGACGGCATTTCCGGAAACTCCTGCCAGTGTAGACGTAGCCTTAGAGACTAACAGCTTCGCTGGGGCACCAGCTGGCCTGGGTAACGCCCACGTCATCAGACAAACTGGAGCGGAGTTTACAGAGGGGGGTCTATGTGAGGACAGCAAAAGGAAGAGGGTGCTGGTGTGAATTAAGCTCATGGACTCCTGGCAGAAGCGGCTCATTCACAGCATGGGGGGGAGATGTGACTATCTAGAGCAGGGAAATTGCCTTTGTAGTGTGTTAACCAGCTGAGAGCCTTATTCAGTCCTAAATGTGTCATCATGAATTTGCCAGTGGATTCTAGTTCAGCTGCCTCCCTTTGGACCCGGGTCTGACGTCCCCCGCAGGAGGCTGGACCCGGGTCTGACGTCCCTTGCAGGAGGCTGGCTGCTTTCAGCTCCGTTGCTTAGTGGCCAAGCAGGGGGACGGGGGTCTCCACGGCT